GGATGACACCGGCGCCATCCATCCACGAGTCAACGCAAGGACTAGACCATGGGGAGGACGGCTCATGAAACAGGCGTGTCCACTTTTGGACAGCTCTAACACTTCCGCTTTGTCCCGGGGCCTTGCCACCGCGCCATCGGAGCGCGTCCATGGGAAGCGTGACGGACGAGCAGGTCGCATGAGCCGAGACCGACGCCTGATGTCCCCAGAGCGCAAGGTGCACAACCGCGCGCTTAGGCTATCTTGCCGGTAGAGGCGCCGGCGCTGGTCACGGCGCCCCGCCGCTTCGCTGAGCCAAGCCTGGATCTGCCGAAGGCACACGACGCCGGAGGGAGAAGGCGACGGCCAACACAACTGCGAGGTAGCAGGAGGTGAAGAGGAAGGCGTCCCTTCAGGCGGGGGAGCGGGAAGCCAAGCCTGGAGATCCCGCCAGCCCACGTTCGCCAGCCATGCTGGAGGGTTGGAGCGCGTGCGGCCCTCGACTTTACAAGCCTTGGTCCAGTATGGTTGCACTTCTTCAAGCGCAAGTTGCGGATCGGCAGGAGGGGCATCCAGGAACAAACGGCGGAGAAGCCGTAACTGGTGAACGCACTCTTCCCAAGCCCGGGCGGCCGACACACGGGCACGAGATACTGGCGGAGGTACAGCGGGGAGGCATTGGACAAGGACAGATTGGAGCGAGTCGAAGGCCCGCCCAATGCGAGAGGACAGCGCCTCAGAGCGCAGATCCGCAGATGCACCCTCACCGGTACCATCCAATCCCTCACACGAGGAGAAGAACAGATGAGAGGGTTGGGACAGGCTAGACAAGAGGAAGCTATCCTCTTCAAGGTGTTGGAGTAACGGAGCATGCGCGGCAAGGGAACTCGCCACGGTGTGTCGTAACGACTCCAGTTGGGGCACAGGGCCGGACTCAATGGTCTCTGCCAAAAAACGCCAAGAAGGAGGGCCGGCAGGGGAATCATCTTCCACCAATGGGAGCGCGGCAAGAAAGTCGGCAAGCACGGGCTCATGATCAACACGGCGACGCCAGCCAACAAGAACCGCAGAGTTGAGCAGCAGGAGAGGTTCAGCCCCACGTGGGCTGAAGGACCAAATGCCATCCAGGCGGCTTGCAGAGCCAGAGTGGGCAAAAAAGGTGTAGGCCCGGATACGCAGTCGAAAGAAGGCATGTGAGCAGCGAGGGACGACGGACGGAGAACGTGCGACCCATGCCAAACATCAAGATCCAGCGAGGCGACGGAGTTGAAGTCACCCATGCAAATGCACGGGATACTAAGCTCGTCCGCCAGGCGGAGTTGCTCCCGAACAAACTGGACCAGTGAAGCCTCTTCGGCCAGTATCAAACCCGGAAAGACTGGCTCCAGTCACCGCGTACACGCCCACGATACGAACAGGGCAGCCGCCTGAAAGATGTATAGTGCCGGCCATGCCACGGCCACCCGGAGCACGCGCAACATCACACCAGCCAAGGATGGCACCGCGCCGAACTGCCAGAACAACACCAGAGCGAGCGGCAGGCGGCGCTCCCGAGGGGCCATGACACACAGCAGTGTAACCGGCGGAGGCAAATCCATCAATGAGAGAAGGGGCAGAGTCGGAGGAGGTGAAGCCAATCTCAGAGACGCATCCTACGTCCGCTCCCAGGTGAGAGAGGGACTGGCCCCACCAATGCCCGATAAAGCGGGCGTCGGTACCTACGCCGCCTGCCTGCAAAGAGGCGAATCGGAGGACGCGACTCCCCCTCCAACACATATCATCCCCTGCGCAGGACGCCTGAAAGGAAGGGAGAGACAGACGGGTGCCAACATCCAACACGACGAAAAGAACAAACACACAGGGCACAAACAGACAAAGGTAAATGCGTAAGTGTACCAACGTGAGGGTTAAAAGTGAGTGTTATCAGTGGTCGGTGCAGGATCCTGACTCTGACTGAGAACCGAGATGGCGGGGGCGGCAGAAGCATACATGTAGCAAAGAACCTGAAACCGAATGGCCCTGATTGACGCAAGGAGGCCTCAACCAACATGAGCAAGCATCCAGCTCGCTATTTTTTCCTTTCCGACAGCAAGTTGTAAAAATGGGAAAACAGGAGGCGAGCCTAGTTATCCGCCAGAGCCAAGGCTTGGCGAGGGCCCTCACTGGAGACGGAAATCAGGAGGCGACCAATGGGCGTGTCCAGGTGGTCCCGAGCTCGTCAGCCACTTGTGCCCGAGTTCAAGGGTTGGCCATGTCGGAGTGAAAGAAGAACACCCCAGGAAGCTGGTACGCCTGGACCACGCCGGGGAAGGCCGCCAAGGTGGGGCTGGCGGACAAGAAGGCTGTCATAGACAGCGCAGCCGGGACCGGCGAGACCAAAACACCAGGAGGAAGCTGGCGGAGGAGCGGGGAGGACGGGCTGGGGGTGAGGGGGGCCGGTGGCTGTGGCTGCTCCTGCCGCTCACGGCGCCGCTCACGGCGGCGGGCGCCTTTGCTAGCCGCTGGAGCTGCAGCAGCAACCGGGCGGGCGGGCGCCTGAGGGGGTGCGCGGGCAGGCCGACTGGAAGCACGCGGGAGGGATGGGCGGGAAGCCGTGCGGCAGGCAGTGGCAGAGCCAGCCGAGCCAGAACGAGGGGGCGGGGCCAAAGGCGGGGCGCCACCAAAGCCAAAGGCCTGCGAGCCCCAGGTGGAGGAGGACGCAACCGTGTGGGGCTCGGGGGGCGGGGGGCTCGAGCTCGTACTTCGGCCGGGGGCGTGGCAGTACCGGATGGCTGATCCGCCAGGGCACTCACAGGGCTGCGCAGCGCTTTCCGCCAGCGCCAAGGCGACATGCAAGGCACGAGACTGAAAGGAGTCCATTGAGCCCAATGAGAACTAGAACAGAGACATTTGATACACTGAAGAGGCAAGTAAAGCCAGGTGCACAGTAACAAGGACCGGCAGTAAAGCGCAAGAGGTGCGGATCATTTAGCCGTGCAAGGCACATCGCCACGGAGCGTGAGAGCGCCCCTCACTAAGAGAGCATAAGCCTTAGTCGACAAGCGAAGGACAGAGAAAGCAAGGAGGGGCATACGCGCCTGAAGGAGAAGAGAAGGAGAGAACTGGGACGTGACTGATTCACAGGACACCACCTTGGCCAAGGACGTGGACAGCAGCACACGTGCCCCAAAGGCAAGGGAGGGAAACAAAAGCAGGAAGAGGACCAGGACAAGAAGAGAGAACAGGGCTGAGCACACGCACCCCGGACTAGGACACCACCCTAGCCAAGGACGTGGACAGCAGCACACGCACCCCAGAAAGAGTGGGAGAAGCAAGACAAGAGGGAGAGAAAACAAGAAGGAGGGAAACAGGACCGGGACGTGGCTGAGCACACGCGCCCCGGACTAGGACACCACCCTAGCCAAGGACGTGGACAGCAGCACACGCACCCCAGAAAGAGTGGGAGAAGCAAGACAAGAAGGAGAGAAAACAAGAAGGAAAGAAAGGACAGGACCGGGACGAGAGGGAGAGAGGAAGGGGCACAGGAGACACACAGAGCGCGGAACGGGTGAGAGAAGAGAAAGACGCAGAGACAGACGAGGCACTGTCGCCCTGACGCCAGGAAGGGGGCCGGGAGGGGGGTGCTCATCGGGAGAGGAATCCCTTAGTGCCGCCCCGGGGGTCCACACCCTCCCACAAAGGAAGCAACCCCCCCCAGAACAAAACGTCAGGCCCCTATATATACATATGACATGGGTATAGAACGTTTGTATGTATGCGCAAACAAGTTACTTCCAAGGGTGAGCTGGGATCCCGTCATTCCGCCAAGCGCTGTGTCGTAGTGCCCTGGGTCGATCTTGGTCATTTTGAGTCTCAGCCAAGGCTGCTGTGACCATTCACCGCCCTTTGCGCAGGCGCGGTAGCAATTGGTTACCCCAAATTGATCCAGGAGGAAGGCGTCGATCCCTTGAAATCAGCGCCGGCGATCCTGCAGATTCCCCAACTATTGGAAGTACTCCACCTTGGCTTCCACTTGCAATAGGGAGGTAAACGCTAAAGCATGTAGGGCTCCCAAAGGAATGCGTGTAAAGATCCCTGGCAGTCCTTGAGCCAACGGCGGAGGCGTGCTGGGCCGAAAGAAGGCCCCAGCTGCGGTACGGCGGTGTGAAGGTGCGCGGAGAGGTGTTGTGAGGTGCCACTTGTGCAGTAGTTAGTCAGGTGGATAGACATAGTCCTCAAGGCAAGCACCTTGAACCAACGTAAGATGCCTGAATCGTGAGCGCTGTGTGTTCCGAAATTCCGATCTTCACCCACATTTTGTAAGAAGTGTTCGAGGGTTTACAGCTTTGTGTGTGTGAGTGTGGGGTCAAGCTGGTTACTTGTTTGGCTGATCCTCTGAGAGGCCTTTGTTTGAATCGCACTTTTCTACCAGTGCGGTTTTGATGGGTAGTTTGAAGGTGAAAGCAACATGTTTATGTCCAGGGAACGGTGCAATTTGTCCGGAGGATTTCCCTCGTTAGACCGCAGCCTTTTGCGTATGTGGCATGTTACTATGCCCGCCATGTGCGAAGGGCCAGCACCGCGCGTTCCTTTTGGCTATTGCTTGAAACCTCTCATATACGTGCCCTTGATGCCAGTGGAAGTTGAGCAGACAGGAGAACGACGTTTAAGTGTGTTTCATTCAATTGCTTGGTGCAGACCGCAGCTGCGTGGGTGTGTATGGGCCATTTGGCTCGTTTCACACGCGCGCGCATATTTCACCCGCACCTGAGAAATCGTCCACAGCAAATGGGCTGGAAAATGTCAGACTTGCTAACCATTCCAGAAAGCCGCTTTGTTACCGATTCCACATGGCTCTCAAGCCCGAATCGCGCCTGCAATGTAGGTGGCCTCGCGCGTTACTCAACAAACCGGAGCCCTGAATCCAGCAGTCACTGGATCCCACTGAAGCTAGGGATCAAAGTTACTTGAAGTGGGGTTACTTTTGGAGGGTCAGACCTCGACAAAGACTTGCCCTGGACCGCTCTGCAATTTGGGCTCGGAGTCGTCCATGGGAGATTGAAAACCTCATGCTTGCCTTGCTCATTTTGGCGCGCATGAGGCCGGGAGAGGGTGGCGGGCCTGCCAGACGGTCCATCCCAGCGAATTTTGGAGGGCATTGCCATGTTCAGCCCTTGATCGAGGGCATCACATGGTATGGGTTCCCGACCTGAATGCCACCACTGCCTTACTGGGACCACAAGCACTCCATTATTTTCTATGCTTCCTAAGTCATGCTTAAAAATGATGACTTGAAGTATTTAGTCATTGATATCAGGATTCCTCAGACGGTGTTCCACGTGCATGCGCACGCTTGCCCGCGTGCACTCGCGCAGTCATGACTCATGCACACGCGCACAAGAATGCTGATGAGTACGCCCATTCAGCCGCGCACCTATGCACACGCAGTACGCACACGCACCCCGACTCACGCACACGTTGAGACCCTTAGATTTCGTTTTGCAATGGAATGCAGGAAAAATATGCATGCTAAAAAAGAGTTATTTCTGCAATTTTTACAAGTTCCAGATTCTGCCCCCCTCCCCCCCCCCCCCCCGCCCCCCAACTTATGGGGTGGGGTTGGCTAAGGGCTGGGTTTGAGGGCGTAGAGTCGGCTCAAGGTTGGTTACCGCGATACCGGGGAGGTGCGGGGATGCCCCCGAATACCAGTCGGGCGGGGGACGCTAGCATCCTGATGCCCCCCTTTTCAGTTTGTCTATTGAAGATTGTTGCTTGCTAGCTGTCCCTTGCATAGGCCTTTGATTGAATTGCGGTTCCTGATTTGCAGACTTGTGCCACCTGGTGCCCCCATCAGCTCTCCTTAAATGGTATCTAGGCGACTCAATTTCGATTTGGTGGCCCTACTTACTACTTGTTCTGGCTCGAATGTATCTTGCCTTGGCATTTCGCTCCTTGGCTTAAAGTTCCATTTGCAAATGCATGCTACGCACCCAAAAGGAACCGGCATATGCCCATGCACATACGCACACGCGCATCACACAACGCACAACCACGACACATCGTAAGAGTGCAATACAACGACGGTACGAAGCCTTGTGATTCTTCAGCACCCAACATGCTCAACAATTAGTCTTAGCCCTCCTTACAATGTCCATATTTCCAAGGTGACTGGTGCACGCTTGAGGGGACTGCATGTAGGACAGGTTTTGCCAAAGCGTTTGCCATTTTGAGCCTTGCAAACACCTCCGTTGCGGTTCCCTTTCATTTGCGCCTTGGTGACCTACTACAATCATGCGGATTCCATAGGATGCAACCAGAGGCCCGCAAAATGGGTTCTTGGCATTCTTAAGCCAGGCCTTCCGGGGCTCCCTTGATCGTATCTCAGACACTTTGCCAGGCAGGCTGCCGGACCTCGCTGCTGATCAGCGTCCGGGCCTCGTCTGTCCCAGCTCGCGTGCTCACAGCGAGCAGTGAGCCGCGAGGCATGGCACAGAGGCAGCGGCGCGCAGTCCATCGCAGCGCAGGCGGACAGTGTTTAGTTGGCTCTTGTTTCCAAGTGGGCAGCGGAAAGTTGCAACAACTTTCGTCGAAGTACGTTGAGGGACGGATTATTTCAGAATTGTGCAGGTGCAGTCACATGTGTTGCGACTGCCCTTTGTGCATGGCCCGGCTCCCAGAGACGGAGAGCTAGACATTGCAGCGGGGTTTTCTTGTATCCTTGTATCATCTTGTATCCTTTGGTGGCAAGATCTGAAAGACACGTTCTGATCAGCGGGGGGAAGAACAAGACAGCGTGTTGCGCCGGGCCTTTGGTTGCGAGGGCCTTGTTTGTTTTCTGACCCGCAAAGGATCCCAGACGCGAAACTCCTTGTCAGTGAGGGTTGCACAACGCTGTCTGAATGTCTTCATGCCATTGTCCGGTTTGGAGTGAACTCAATCAGCGGGATCTTGAGCTTATCCGAGGTGTCAGAGCTTGCTGTCTTCGGCAGGACTGTTGTGGCAGGTACTCTGGCTCATGCCATCCAAAAGAGACACCGAACTGTTCTTTGGGAGCAAGACCCCGATGTGTGGCTCCCCTTTGAGAACGTCCAGTTGCGTCCAATTCTTGCTGTGGCTTTTGCAGGACTGGCGCATATTCTGTCACTGGTGTGTTTTCTTGCCGCCGCCTCACAGGGATCTGCGCGCTCCCATGGCTTGCTTGGATCGGCAAGCTGGACGCGCACGGGCAGCGCCGAGGCGCAAGTGATTCTCATCAACTACTTCCTGGTTCAATACTTGAGTGCGCAGGGCAGTCAGCTGCATCGCTCCATCTTTAGCTTGTGGTGGCTCGCGATTTCGGGGAGCATGTCAGGTACGACCGTGCTTTTGACAATCTCTGTTGACCTGCCCTTGTCCGAGCCCCGCTGCACTCAGACTCTTGCAACGTGGGCCTAGATGCCGTTTTGAGGTTTCTGCACCTCGTGTGGTTCTGGCGAGTGGAGAGCACGTACCGTGCAGCACCCACACAGCTCCTGCCTCAGTTGCCAAGTTATTGTATTTCAGGGCCTTTGACTGCATCGCTTGACCCATGCACGTATCCCGTATCCGTTTTTGTGCCCTGTCTTTCCAAGGAGCATAGGATATGAGCTCTTGGGTATCCGAACAGTCATGCCGCTCCTGTGAATAATATGTTTAGAGAGATGAGGGGTCCCGTTACTCGTAGTTGGTTTTGGCCTGTTTGCTATTTCAGGATCTGAGTAGAGTCGAATTACGTTCTTCTAGACTGCGTTGAGGTGGTTCTGCTACTGCTGGGTGCACGCAGCAAAGGCAGGGGATCAAGGGTTCTCGGCCGATTTGTCCACCTTCGCAGTAGGGAGGGATTTGTGGCCCACAGATCCGACTTGAACCAACACGGTGCTCACAGCACTGAATCCCTTGGCGGCCGGGCCTAAATTTGAGAAACTGACATCTGAGAATTTGACCTGGCCATTGAGTCAGCTGTGTTAGGCTTTTGGGGGATAATTCTTGCGTTGGGGGCATCCAAACAGAACATCGTCGTTTTGTTGTTGCTAGTGTTGGAGAGAACCCTACATAATGGGGCAGCGCCAAACACCCTTATGAAAGGAGCTAATTGAGAGCCTCTCCGAACGAAGCCTCCCGAAAGCTAAAACGCAGGGCGCGAAAGCCCGTGAAAGCTTGCGGCGAAAGTGGGTGAAGAACAGCCCGCCGCGAAAGCAACGCGCAAGTGCATGTTTGCAGTTTCTCTCCCGCGAAAGCTCCGCGAAAGTGATCAGAACAAAACGGCCAAAGTGAAACATCTACCGCGAAAGCATCGCACAAGCTGCACTTGCACACTTTATAAAGAGATGCCCGACCAGAAGTTCACCCAGGAATAACATCAACGCATTGGCAATGCTGGAAAGTAATCCTGTCCAAGTCTTTGAATGTTGCCAAAGATGCATAGATGAATTTATTTTGAGTCGCTGGTTCTCTGGATTTGGATTCCCACCTGTTGTGCCAAACTTTTTTTCAAAAAAGTATTATTGCCGTTCATCTACTTGGTGGATCCACAGGGGCATTTCAATCGTCAGCTGCACTTGTGATTCTCCACTTTTGCTCCCTTCCGAGTCAGGGCTCTAAGAGGTGATTACTTTTCTTTTCTTTTTTGGACCCGTATCATAAGCAGCCCGCCTGTTGCATGCTTGCAGCATGCCACTAACCCTGCAACCCCTTTGCGCATGCTTGCTATGTGTGTGCAATTGGCCCAACTGCCAGCATCCAAGCTTTGGTTTGTGGTAGCTTGGTTGTTGTTGAAGCGCTGGCGTTTGTGTCGGGAATGCTGTTTGCAGCTAAGCTTGCCTTTCCTGGCTTGTTGAACCTGCTCAAGACACTCGTAGTCATGGCTTGGAAGACGGGCGAAAAGTGGAATCAGTCCCTCGTGAAAGAAGCTGCGCCCCCGCCGTTGGCGATAGTTGGCAATTTTGAGCATTTGTTGGCCACATGTCCTAGCGAAGACCTTTTTTTTTCTGGGCGGCGTGCTACTGATGGTTTTGCGGGGCTCCGTTGGTCTGGCCCTCAGAGGCTTGACTTAAGCAGTGTGCTCGTTGAAGCTGACAGTCTCCACGGTGTTTGCTGGCAGACCAAATCTCGACAACGGGGCGTGGCTTGGACATGCCTTTCGAAGCGTTTGCTTCGAGCCCAACTGGGGCTCCTCGCCTGGCAACTTCACAAGTGTGTACGGCGGGCGCCCTGTGCTGTAAACCATTGGCTTGGCCCTTGTCAGCAGGTGCTTGGGGATCTATGGAGATTCCATGGCTCATACTTTTTCCCTTCGCAGCTTAAGAGCGACTTTGCTCACAGGCCCAACTTGTTGGGAGTGAATGTCCCGGACAGGGCAGCGCAGGGGCATCATTTTGCCCCATCGGATCAGCATGTGTGGCCACGTGTGGGCGCGCGATGGCTTGGCGCCGCAACGCCGCTGGCAGCTTGCTGCTGCGGTGTAGCAGTTCCAGCCAACCGCAAAATCACGAGAGCGGAGCCGGCCCCGGCCACTGGCGCGCCAGAAGAAGCTTTTGCTACAGCTGACTTGTGAGACCAATGGTGCCGAGCTCTCCCTGGCCTCGGCCTGGCTGGCCTGTGAGGGTTTGGCTGGCCTGCCCAGAGCGCGTGGCGTCAAGGGCAAGGGCTGGCTGCAGGGTTGGCCAGCCTTTCCCCGCTTGCTATGTGTGTGCAGCTGGCCCAACTGCCAGCAATCAAGCTTTGGCTTGGTTGCTGTTGAAGCGGGTCTGGCTGGCCGGCCTGTGTGTGTGTGTGTGCCAGGGTTGCATGGATGACTCTGAGCCAACATGCAGACCAATGCCAGAAGATGGCCCTTTCGCTCGCTGTGGGGGGGTATTTCATTCTCTTGGAGTTCTCAAAGCACGGTTTTGGGGTAGGTGCGGACTGGTGCCGTAGGTGGTGGTGCTCTTTTGCCGCGTGATGCCGCGTTTGGCGAGCGCTGCGCCGGCGGAGGACGGAAGTCCCGCGAAAAAACGAGTCAGCCTATGCATCAAAGCGGGTTGGACCCCAAGGGTCCATTTGAAAGGGACGCCAACATAAAGCAAACTCAGGTCCCAGGTATGCGTTTGTGTGGGAGAGAGAGAGGGAGAGAGAGAAAGAGAAACACCGGATGAGGAGTTTTGAAGCTGTGTGTGTGTGTGTGTGTGTGTGTGTGTGTGTGTGTGTGTGTGTGTGTGTGTGTGTGTGTGTGTGTGTGTGTGTGTGCTGTGTGTGTGTGTGTGTGTGTGTGCCTGTGTGCCTGTGTGCCTGTGTGCCTGTGTGCCTGTGTGCCTGTGTGCCTGTGTGTGCCTGTGTGTGCCTGTGTGCCTGTGTGCCTGTGTGCCTGTGTGCCTGTGTGCCTGTGTGCCTGTGTGCCTGTGTGCCTGTGTGCCTGTGTGCCTGTGTGCCTGTGTGCCTGTGTGCCTGTGTGCCTGTGTGCCTGTGTGCCTGTGTGCCTGTGTGCCTGTGTGCCTGTGTGCCTGTGTGCCTGTGTGCCTGTGTGCCTGTGTGCCTGTGTGCCTGTGCCTGTGTGCCTGTGTGCCTGTGTGCCTGTGTGCCTGTGTGCCTGTGTGCCTGTGTGCCTGTGTGCCTGTGTGCCTGTGTGCCTGTGTGCCTGTGTGCATGTGTGCATGTGTGCATGTGTGCATGGGTGCATGTGTGCATGTGTGCATGTGTGCATGTGTGCATCAGTCATTCATGGTGTTTACAACTAGTTGGACATCAGACCTGTTGGGCCATGTTTTTGTTGTATGAGAGACTCTCTCTGGTTGTGTGCTGGTATTGCAAACAACATGTTTTGTTTGTTTCCCCTTGCTCAGAGGGCAGCTGTTTGCAGCTGCGGAAGTGTGTACATGAAGTTTTGAGGTTTGTCACCAGCAGGACGGCCTGCGAGCCACCGACTTTAGCATCAACAGCGCCTATTTCCAGGACTTGTTCAGCTGGGCGCCTAGCCCTGGGTCGATCCAAATCGCTGGTGGAAGTGATGCAGGTGAGCAAAGGTAATCACACGAGTTCGGGGATGTTCCACCCGCGATGTCGGAATGAAGCCTGAGCTTTGGGGCAAAGGCACAGCAGCTCGTGGCTTGTGGGGTGTGTGATCCAGGACAAGTGCTAAATTCTCCAGCGTTTCGCAGTTGGCCGCTGCTCACGCTTGCAGGTTTTTGCAGTTGAGGTGTTTGATGCAAGCTTGAACCATTGCATTCAATGACATGTCGGCTTTGGTTTGGGTGTGACTCCTGGTTTCAGATTCCTGCGAATATTCTGCCCGATGTTTTTTTTCATCACGCCGTCTTGGCTCTTTTTAGCTGGGGGCTTCTTTTAATCAAAGAGTCGAGAGGTCCGACCATGCTGGCGAACCTATTGCTCATCACACCCGTCTTCTATGCGCTACTGATGTTCCGCACCAGCAAGGCTCGCCACTCTCGGCGGGTGAACGTGGTCAGAAAAGAAAATCGAATCCAGCGCAGACCGAAGTTTTCGGTGATTCATTCCAAGCGAGTTGTTGAGCAATCACATGGCACACACGGATCCGACATATTGGAACTGGTGAGGTTGCAGGATCGGAGCACCTTGTAACCAATTGTGAAACGCGAGAGAAGCATGCTGCAATGGCAGTGTGTTTCCTAGGAGTGGAGCGTGCTGCCAGGCGATTTTTGGTTCGCTATCAAAGCGAGTGACGGTCGACCTCATCATGCACTACGACGCCTGGCATTGTCATTCCAAACAAGTATATGTCGATCAGTTTTCTGCAACGAGCCGTTCAAACCATCCCCAAGACAGGTGCTCTGCCTGGCCACTCATCGGTGATGCCCTGGGCACCGAGGACATGTTGTGGCACGTTGTCATCGACATGGTGGACCAGGCTAACCGAGCGACACTTGAGACCCGGGCCTTTGTGAGCAGAGCTAGCGCCTAGCGTTCGGGTATGAGCTGACACGGTTGCTTTTTCAAAAAGGACACCCCAAATGGTTGGTTTCCTTTTGAACATCCAAAAGTGCCTCCAGAATGGGTTTTTTGTTTTTTGACATTTGCATCGAATGACTCAATGCAGCCAGGTGGATATGTTTTACTATGCGCGCTTGGCCGAGTGGGCCTCACACTCAGCAAGCTCCAAGTACTGTATCCATACACTCAGCAAGAGAGAATTGCGGGAAATGACCGTGTTCATGCAGTTCACAAGGCGTTCTCTTGATAGCATGGGTAGCCTTGATAGCGCTCTTGCGAGGAGGCCAGGGGTGTGGGTGATTCCCCATTTGCTTAGAGGGGAGCCCAAAGGAACAACCTACCCGGAAGGAAGCAAACAGACCCCCATTGAGAAACCACCACAGGTGCAGCTTAGCTTTGACTTGTACCGTCCAAAGGGGACTCTCTTGGTTTCAACCAACACCCAGAGGGAGTAACTTTCGCATGGACAAGGCTTATTTCGACTTTTTGGGTTGGGATTCTCAAAATCGTGAATCCCCCCTCCCGTTTGGTTGGTTTAAAGCGAGGCCAAAAATAAGTAAGACACAGTCTTTTGGCAATCTATTTGGAGAAACCCACATTGGGAGACACCTCTACGGCTGGTTGGGGTTTCTTTCTGGTCCATTTGGAGAGCTCCCCCCATTGACTCGTCCAGCCCCGAGCGAATCCTTCGCCAGGTGGGCAGCGAGGCGTTGGAGAAGCACCGCCACTCGCTGGTCATGATCCAAACGGCCAGGGCTGTGAGGGGGGGGGCAATGGTTGGCTTTGGTTGCCACGGAAATTCCTCTGGCGCTTCGTGCGATGGATCAACTATGCTTTTTCCGTTTTGCCGGGTAGCACTATCAGCCGACAAATCAGAAATTAAGAATCAGGATGCGGGGGATGTAGGCTGTCACATGCCGAAGAAGGAAGGGGGCGGCGGATGTTTTTAGGCCACCCGACATGTACCATGAGGAGTCCAGAAAGGACCATCTCAGAAAATGTCAATTGGGAGCACCAGGCATTCAGGATCCCTAAACACACAGGGTCAGCAGACCCAAACCGTGAGAAACCAGCAGAGCAAACATCTCAAATTCGAGACGCGGAAGGCACCTACATTCATGGACTTCATTTATAGCCTAAATTGTCCGCCCTAGAAGCCCTTTGGCTTTACGAGGAGTTCCTTCGACTTCGACTTTTACATGCCACAAAGATGTGCCATCGTGACTATTTTCCAACTTGTAAGAGCGTTTGTAGCCATTCTGGCAAGTCAACATTGAATTGTGAGCTAGGGATGCTGGCAGAGGAGCAGCATGTGCTTGGGTTGGAACCCCATGTTTGTCCAATGGATATGCTGTCCTACCGAGTCTTGCACTTTGTGCCTGACACTTTCAGCCCATCGCCAGGCAGTGCCGTTCCTGCTATTCTTTTCCATGGTCATGCAGGCGCGATGGGACGTGCGGCCAAACCGACTTCCAGTTGCGAGAGCATCGGATGTTCCGCTTTGCAGCCGCACGTTTGGTCCCGTTGAGGTCACTTGCTCAAGGTCCGAAGGTCCGCGTCTTTGCTCCGAGTCGGTGTTGCCATGTGTTGCCTAGGCTCAAGCCTTCCCTGGGGCTTGGGCCCCAGCGTTTCGAGTGTCTGCACACTTGGTGCAGGGCGAGTGAATCGCGAGCTTCAAGAAGCTTCCTGAGAAAATCGGCTTCCCCAAATGGTGGTATGACATGTTTCCTTTGAGAACAATACGTGTTGTGTTTTGTGTCCCTGGCAAAAATATTCTTTTTGGGGTGCGAGGTGGTGACCGACAAGTGGACAATCCCCGCACAGACCTCAGACCCTCGCTCCATGTTGGGATGGATTGATCAGTTTGTAATTTGTGGAGTGTTGAGATTGAAAGATATTGAGTATCGGGTTCTTCCTCTTAGCAAGCACCTCAATTGCGAAGTGGACCTCAAGAGAAAACTGTCCTCAACAGCCTGAGGTTGACGAGTCTGCTCGGCGCTCAGATGTGAGATCAAAGAGCTTACAGCCTTGGACATGCTTTAAACGTGATGTGAGGGACCTCAAATCAACAGGCTGCTAACTTGTCGGGAACGACTTTTTGATTGTTGAGGGATCTGCAATCTCCACCACACAGTGCTGCTGTCATGGCAGCAGCGTGACCATCAGGGCCCCGCTTTGGCGCATGGCCCTGGATCCCGGCAGGCGATTTCCGAGTGCGAGTCCGAGCCCGCGCAAGAGCTCTCCGGAAGGGACAGCTGGCGCAGGTGCCCCTGAGACGGCCAGAGCGCTCCAGCCCAGTGGTTCCTCAACTCAGGCATACTTTTTTCTAGAAGGAAAGCCCTAGAATTGCTTTCCTAGTGGTTTCCCTGTTTTAACATCTTTGGATATTGCTTCCTGTTCCAAGGACATTTGGATGCTACTTGTAGCAGCCAAGAGCGAACAAGACGCAAACAGTACCCTCAACAGCAGCAAGACAGACAGACAAAATAAACAAACTAGCAAACAACTGGCCTTGTTGCAAAGTAAACTTCAGGTGCCCACTGCATCCCCCCGTCTCAGTCGACCGCCCCTGCCTTAGCTTCGGCCAGGACGGAGACGGGGAGCTCCAGTGCGATAAGGCGAGGCGGAACTGGGGCAACGGGGGCAAGCGATCAAGCAATCAAACCAAGCACGAAGCGCCACGAAAACAACATAGGACAGAGCATAACAAAGCACAACAAAAGCTACCAAAACAAAACGTAATCCACAACAAAACAAGACAAACAGTGACATTATAGGTATACAGAGCATTGTTTCTGTATCTATTTGTCTATTTGTCCACGTATCTATCTAACTCTCCATCTATTCATCAATCTATCTATGTGTCTAGTCCATTAGTCTACCCACGTACTAATAAGTATATGAGCCTGCCTGCCCACCTGCCTGCCTGGCTTGGGTGTTTGTTTGTCTCTCGGTCTGTCTGCCTGCCTGCCTGCCTGGCTGCCTGGCAGTTTGGGTGTTTGGGTGTCTGTTTGTTTGTCTGTCTGTCTGTCTGGCTGTCTGTCTGTCTGTCTATCCGTCCATCCATTTGTCTGTCTATCT